ATCGACTTTTAATATTAAACTTTGGAAAAAACATAAATACGATATATGTGTACGTAAGTACTTACGTACGTACAAATCGGTTTTCCTGTTTAAAAAAAAAAAAACAAAAAAAAAGTCTCATTTATCTATCTAAGATATAGTGGAAAACGTTTTATCTCTCTATGTATATATATATATATATATGTGTGTGTGTGTGTGTGTAAGGTACATATGTATATCTATTCAATTTCTCATTTTATCTTACGTAGAACCGGCAATAACTCAGACAAGGTAAAGTTCATTGTAGCCTCGAGCGTGCGAACTCAGGCTTTCGTCTTATTCCAAGCTGAGTCAGTCAGCAACGACGAGTTCTTTTTATTCGCCGAAAGGTCAGACCCGTAGGAAGGAAGACGATCAATCTTGATCCCAATTATCGCGTCGTTCAGCGCCCGTAATTGAGTCGGTCTCAGACCCTTCCAATTTCTTTTTAACGTTCGGAAAGCCAAAACAATGACGATCGAAGGAGGGGAGGTACCTTCTTCGACTTCCTTCTTCGCGAAGGAAAAAAGAAAAAACGAATGAGAAACGAGTGAAAGAAACAAAAGGGGGCGAGGGGGAGGTTAAGAAATCAAAAAAAAAAAAAATGTATAAAAGAAAAAGAGTGAAAACTTGTTTTTGCCCTTGACATACCTCGTCGTTCGGTTGTTCCCGATGCCAATAATTTATCAACGATCGCAAACAGACAAAGAGTGTTCATTGAAATTTTCTTAACGATCAATTTTCTTCGTTCTCGTTCCGTTCAAGGTTTTACATTGAAATTCTTAGGTAAACAAAAAGAAATAAAAAAGAAGAAGAAGAAGAAGAAAAAAAAGGAAATAGTACATTTTAACTTTCGACTTAACATCGGTTCTTTTTCTTCCTTTTTCGTTCTTTCTTTTTTTCTTTCTTTCTTTCTTTCTTTCTTTTTTTTTTCAGGTTGTTCAAATTCCTTTTGTTTTTTTTTTTGTTTTACTAAACGATAATAATACATTCTATCTCGGATATTCGAACTATTTGCGATGATCGATATATGAAATTTTCTGATATATATTATTTTTTGGGATTCTAGAAAAGGGGAGGAAAAAATAAAAAAAAAAAGAAAAGAAAAAAGAAAAGAGAAAAACGGGACGGACAACCTCGATAGGGACGGGTATGATCGATCGTTTCTGGCATATCCTATCGTTTGAGATCCTCGATTTGTCATCGATCAAAGTTTCGAGGCTTGAAGCAACAGGATTACGTGTGTAACGTTCGTAGATGTTAACGTCGCTCCTGGGTATATGTATATGCCTGCTTTCACGTAAATTCATCCGCTCGACATCGACACCTAATTAGCACTAAAACCTGGGATACGTCGAACACCTAGCGTTCGTGGAAAAGCTGTCTCGTTCCTCGTGTCATGTACGGGAATCTTCTCTTTCTCTCTTTCTCTCTCTCTCTCTCTCTCTCTCTCTCTCTCTCTCTCTTTTACAATTAGTTAAGCGAGAACAAACCGCATCGAGGTAGATAGAGATTAAGCAACACAGCAAGTGCTATGTTCACGTCAATATATCGATGTAGAAACGAAGAGAAAGAGAAAGAGAAAGAGAAAGAGAAAGAGAGAGAGAGAGATCAACTCTTCTCTATAGCTCAAAACTTTCTCATGGTTACTAGACATTATTTCTGGAAATTCTCGAATGTGCTTAATTAGGCGATATTTGAGTACCTCTCTCATATCTCTTTCTCTCTCTCTCTCTCTCTCTCTCTCTTTCTCTCTCTCTCTCTCTCTTTCTCTCTCTCTCTCTCTCTTTCTCTCTCTCTCTCTGTCTATCTTTTCTTTACGCTATCAGAGTATACGTTCGCAAGTTGTTATTATCAAAAGCCACTGGATTTTCGTAAGAAAGCACGAGCACGTTTCAGGGGGTTGGTAGTGTTGGTACCGCTGGTGCGGTCGACTTCCCATCCCCTATATAGACATCTTACCTGAACTAATATTGTTAAGGTCTAATTAGTACCACCACGACACCAGTCGACCTTCTCCTCCTCCTTCTCCTCGTCCTTCTCTTCCTACTTCTACTCCTCCTTCTTCCACCACCTTCTGCATCACCACCACCACCACCACCACCATCACCTTCTTCCTTTTCATGCTCCCTCGGTTACTCCTCTTGCTTCTCCCCTTTTCGTACCACTTCCGTATTCCGACCTTGCAACAGCGTCGGCAGCAACGGCAACAGCACCCGCAACTCACCCTTAAACCGTGTTACACTTCGCTCCGACGCCCGAGTTATGAACGAGCGTGCGAACAAACGAGAGAGAGAGAGAGAGAGAGAGAGAGAGAAAGAGAAATAGAGAGAGAGAGAGAGGAGTAAGATCCTTTGCGTACTAGCTATATTATGAGCCACTTGTGCTGGAGTATGTTTCGTTTATGGATAAATTCGAAATGAGGGGACGGCACTTGTGTACGATAACAATGCCGTAACAACTTGCCTTCACGCTTAGCCGCGCTCCTACAACGATATTACTCTAAACCGGTAAACGTAAACGTTACGTTACGTTTGTTTTCTTCCATGAAAACGTCCGTACCTACTTTAAGGTTCTACGGTATTACAAGCAAACAGGCAAATAAGTACATTACGTTGTTTCGTCGTAAGTCGCATTTTCCCTACTTTAAAAAAAAAAAAAAAAAAAATTCCTTTTTCGATTCTCTCTCTCTCTCTCTCTCTCTCTCTCTCTCTCTTTCTTTCTCTTTCTCTTTCTCTTTTTGTCTCTCTCTCTCTCTCTCTCTCTCTCTCTCTTTCTTTCTCTTTCTCTTTCTCTTTTTGTCTCTCTCTCTCTCTCTCTCTGTCTCTTTTTCTTTATCTTTCCAAATATTTGTTTATTTTTTTTTATTTAGAAAAGAACGGAAAAAAGAGAAGTATTTATTTCGTGCGTAAAAGTTGAAATTAAAGAATAAAAAAATGAAAAGAAGAGAAATAGAATAGAAAGAAAAGATAAGTGGGATATTATAATTTTATAAATTTCTTTTTGTAACTTAGAGAAAAGACGGGGAAAATGGCAATTATGCGTTAATATTGGTCGCGTTGCGATCTACTCATTAATCTTAGAGGATCTATATCCATTACGGATAAATTTCAAATAAGGAGAAAATTTATGCACGCTTTACCAGCTTACATATGAGAATATTTCAAAGAGTAGAGGACGCTCTCCCACTTTCACCTCATCTCTTTAACCATCCTCTCTCCTCATTCCTATTCACTCGCATATCCACTCACTTTCGTATACCCCGAGGAAAGTCTTGTTAATTGAAGTAGCAGTCTTAATCGTACTTTCCCCCCTCCTCTCCCCAATGTATTCTCAATCGTCTTCGTACCTTTATAAATTATCGAATTAAGAATTATTTAACGTTCTTAACGATTTTATCTATCCATTTTATTTAACAATAATAATAAGCGAATGTATCACGTATCAATGTGGTAATTCTTCAGTTGTCACTTAATCACTTTGAAATTATTTGCGAGTTTAATTTTTTTTCTTTTCTCTCTTTTTTTTTTTTTTCTTTCTTCCTATCTTCCTTCTTTATTTTTCTTCTCTTTGTCATTTTACAAGATTGTTCATTCGAATTGTCACGATTTAACATCTTCGTTATATTTAATGGGCATATCGTGAAAGGAATAAAAAATACACACCTATCTATCATTTTTATCCTCTATCTCGATTATATTTTACTTTTTATATTCTATTTTATTTTATTTCATTTTATTTCTATTTGTCTCTTTTTTTCTTTTCTTTTCTTTTCTTTTCTTTTATTTTCTTTTTTTTTCTACTTTCTCTTGTTCGAATATCTTTCTTTACGTACCTATTTGTATCATGAAACTAAAAATAGTTCGAAAGTTCTGATAAGATCGTTAGTTTCACCGTACCTTAACTTTCCTTTCGTTCTATAAAGAAGCCGCGTACAAGGGGTAGTCACGAAAGATGGCTCGTTAAGGAACTAGAAATTTGTAGAAGGTAAACGATGAAATAAGTGAAACGGATTGGAGGGATGGAGCTGGGCGGGGAGGTTGACTAGGGGAGGGGAGGGGACCGTAGAGAAAGACGAGTGAAGGAGGGAGGGGGCGAAGACAGGACGTTAACAAGTTCATCGTATGAAAGGATTTTCGATAGAACCATCCGTATGAAATTGGATCTGTATGGTTGAAAACGAGTTAGTCAAGTCCTCGTAACACGAAACGAAGAGATTAAACTAAGAAGTTGACATTTCCTTTGACCCCGAAGCCTTTGCCGAGTGACATCGGATTTAATTAATTTTAAAAACAGATACATTTATCTTACGAAAATACCAATGGACGCGCGGACGCCCGTCCTCTTACTATTACTACTACTACTACTGTTACTGATACTGCTACTGATACTGCTACTGCTACTGCTATTACTATTACTATTACTACTACTACTACTTACTTACTTACTTACTTACTTTAGTAGAAACAGCTGACTACGATAAATTTCAGACGCAGACGTTACCACGCCGAGAGTATTTCTTCCGGCAGCGTTTTCGCAGAAACTATGTATTTCATGGACTATGGTATTTTTCGTATTGCAATGGGAACAAGTAGAGCGTAGAATTACGCGAAAGAGATATTGCGAGTACAGGTTGAACGTGGGGTGGGGCATAAGTTGGGATGGATGGGGATAGGGGGAGGGGACGGGAAGCGTACGCCTTGTTCAGCATTTACAAAGTAGCGCGAATTTATGATATTACATACTTTAACTTGACTTTAGTCGTAATTGAATGAAAGTAGAAAAAAAAAAAAGAAAAAAGAGAAAAATAAAAAAAAAGTCCCTATAAATCGATCATGTTTTCTATTATAATATTGTTTATTTTAATATATATATATATATATATATATATATATATATATATAATATTGTCTATCTATGTTTGTCCGTTTATGTTTGATTATAATCTTTAATTTTTGTTCCCTTTTTTTCTTTGTTTCCAG